GGGGGGGGGGGGGGGGGGGGGGGGGGGGGGGGGGGGGATCGGGGGTTCAGAAAGCTAACCTAGATCAATGATGTAGCCTTTATATGCCAGGCTCAGGTCAAACTAACTCGAGTCGACGTTTTAATGACATTTTATGTTACCCGTCCATTGCAAGCTTGACGTTCAACAATTTACATTGTATTAATTTGGTGAGAGAACACAAGCTGCGAAGTTTGCAAGCTTGAGCAATCACGATTTTCTCAGGCAAGCGTTTATGCGTTAATAACCAACTTGACGTCAGATGGCTGTAAAAGGGTATAATCAGTGATAGCAACAACAGTTTAAATTTTCGTTTCTGTATTGGCCGGGAGGCAAAAAGTCAAAAACTTCGTAAGTGCTTAAAACCATACTGGAAAGAAACCTCGGCTAGTAGTAGGGTATATTTAGTGCCATTTCACTGCCCTGTAACTACTCGCAAGTACGCGCTTTACAAATTACTAACATCAGTATTTCCCCACAGCATCTAAATTGTGTAAACTAATCATCTAAGCGCGTGGTAACTTCATTCTTAGTTCTTCCTGTTTTTATGAGATATTGCACTGTTAACCAAAAGCAAAGCAGGTGATGTCTTTGTTTGGTTATAACTTAAAGCTTCAAATAGACAGAAAACAACCTTAATTAGGTTGGATTATGACATGCACGTGCATTGATTTTGTATCAGTTGTTCCCTCTACTTTTAAGACCGAGGGAGTCTAATCAATCCGCCCAGACATCTTAAATTTCCTGAGCGCAATTTTCGGCTTTATTACAAGCGAATAACTAGATGAACACTCTATAGACGAAATCCAAAACCCAAATGCAGTTATACATGTTCTTTTGAAGGTTACAATTTGTCTGTATCTGAGCCCTAGCAACAAGGCAAGAAGTCTGTCCACGCTTATTGCAGTCGAAGTTAATAAAGACACTGAACATAAGGTATAACCTGAAAGATTTTCTGCCAAATAAGCGTAATAGCAAATATACCATTTTTCTTTCACAACAGAAGTAAAGTAAGTCACAGCCAAAGGCTCAGCAATGATACCAACACAGAGATCAGCTATCGCTTGATTACGATACAGGAGTTTGGACGGCGGATGAAGTGAAGTTTCCTTGTGTAGGGCAACTAGGATCAGAGTGTTCCCCAGAAATGCAGTGATGGAAAGAAAAATATTTAGCGCTGAAAGGAAGATAAGCTCGCAATCTACACCTCTGAAGATTTCCGCCGAACAGGATAGTTCTTCGACCGTTTTGCTGTCATTTTCAGTAAAATTTTTAGCGCCATTTGGCTGCAATGCAACGATATGCAGGTGCCTACACTGTTTAACATTTCGCTTTGTTTTAAAAGGGGGGAAGTGTGTCATTCTATCTTTTAAATTACCTAATTAACTAAGGCTAGGTGTGTGGTTATTTCTCGGATACAAGTTACTCCTTAATTTGGCGCGAAATTTCGGCGTTTCTACTACTACACGAGAAATTTCTTTAATTTGACTGGCTAAGAGTAGTGGTATTTCAGCTTAATTTGAATTACCTACATGTGAAAATTACAAAACCTTTGCGGGTAGTAGTATAAACAAATGATAGCATGATTTGCACGTGATATTTGGCATAAATACCACTCGTGATATTTCAAAATTGTCTCAAATTTCGCTCGCCTAACGGCTCGTGAAATTACGTATAACAATTTTCAAATATCACTAGTGGTATTTATGCCAATAACACTACAAATCGTGCTATTACCTATACTAATTCATAAATTCAGCTATGGCAGCTTTTGTACTCTGAATGCCCGAGATGGCGTCCAAGTTTAATGATGTCTAGGTGAGATGTTATGAATGAAGACATCAGGGGAATAAAAGACGATGTTACAAGTCTTAACACACTAAAGAGCACAATATGTCTAGGTGGTAGGGAAACCATTAAAATTTTGGCCTGGAATTGAATTATTACTTCGGCGGAGCGCGAATTAAAGGATTCGCGACGCTCAGGAATCTATCAAAGTTGACTTTTTTTGACAGGATTGGGCACGCAAAGTCTGTAGGTTTTCGGTTTTATTCGGCTATTTGACGAAGTGAGAGCCGAATTAGTTCGAGATATCTTGAGATCACTTCGATTTCTTTGATTTAGTCTTTAAATTTTTCGAGGAATAAAGAATTATTATTTTGGCTTTCCCGGGGTTTGAACCGACTCACCAGTGTGACCCGTCGGATCAGAGGAGACTCTAAGTTGAGGGATTAGCCGATTGCGCTACAGGGACCCAAGGTAGTTCGCCATATGAAAAATAGTTAGGAAATGATGCACTGGTTTCGGGACAAGATTGGGCGTGCAAGTTCGTGACTTTTCGGCTTGTTTCGGCCATTTCACGAAATGAGACCGGACTACTTCGGATCGGGATATCTTGGATATCTTCGAGTTTAGTCTTTAATTTACTCGAGGAATAAATAGAGGATTTTACGTGGCCGCGCAGAGACGGAATTTCTCTTCGATTGTTGAAAAACATTTCACGAGTGAGCCCTCCTTTCGAACTGTTTTATGATGAATTTAAAGTTACAAAATGCTGCACAAAGACATTTTGTCTTTGTTGAGTGTTACGTAGTAAAATCATGCGTTGCGAGACTTTCTCGAACGTTCTGTACCTTTTTGGATTATTCATGAATAATTAATTAGGGCATGTTTACATTTCAGAATGAGTCAGCAGATTTGCCTCAGTTACTGAAATCATAAAATATGCCGAAAAGCTACTACTATTTGCCTATTTAGTATTTTCTAGAACCTTATGTCAAACGGTATACAAGTTCCAAGCGAGTTCTTTTGAAGAACTAAGTTTTTTCCCACGAGCTGGACTGCTGTGTTTAGTCAAGTGAGACGAAGGTCGATTTTCAAGTTCTGTGTTTACAAGTTGGTGGAAGCCGTAAGATATCTGAAGTTCAAGCGAGAGTTTGTTATTATTGGCAGAGGCTGTTTAGTTTTA